ATTAGTGGTTATATTATTGTGTGGAGAAAAATAAGAAATAATTTCAGTACCTACAACGTCCAACAGGTGACGGCTACAGTCTATCAGCTTAAATATATAATGGAACTGCTCCCTGTTATATTTATGTTCGTCATTACGTTCATTATTCAGCTAATGTGGCTACTATCGTTATGGTGCTTAGGTTTATTTTCCCGTGAATAAGCCCTATAAAGGCGTTGATTAAGATGACTCTTTGTTTCGTTAGGTTAATATAACGCGTTTATTTCTTGGAAGGGTGAATGAAGTGAAGTTATTATTTATCATACTAAAGGGAGGAACTTCTATCCCCCTTTTAGAAGGAAAAATCTTCAAATGACTTCACTCTCTCTGACTGCTTACTGACTAAAAACCACGCGGTACATTATTGAGCTTACAGCCGCAACCCCTTCCCTAACCGCCACACGCACACACACACACACACACACACAAACACACACACACACACACACACACACACACACACACACACACACACACAAACACACACACATACACACACACACACACACACACACACACACACACACACTCCAAGGCCCGAAATGATAATTTCTAGATTACATACTTTGTGATTATATTTTTGATTTCATTTTATTTTTGATTGTATCTTTAAATTTAGTGAATTATATTGAACATCTTATAATCACATAACTCAGCTAGTTCTTACTATTTATTAATCTAACCAAACTTAATTTAGTAGAAGTCGTCCTTGCTAAAACTTAAACGCATCTCAAAGTTAAAACGCTGAACAGAGTTCATCATAAACCCTAGAATATACACGACAACACGTCACTTAGAAACTTTGGGGGAACAAGCACAGCGTGTTCTAATTAAAACCGATCAACTTAGGAACAAAGAAAAACTTTTAGTAACACAATCAGCTCGCACAATGCAGTAAGTAACCAATAAAGTTATGAATATAAGACGGCATTACCGAAACTAGGCCTTAACGGTACTAATTAAGAAGGCACGAAATGAAACAATCTAATGAAGAAAGTTGAGTGCAAAGTCCCACGTTTGACATTTACTGGATAGTGGGTAGGTAATAGGCGGCGGCGTTTTAGAAAAGTGGTTTTATTTCATTTACTGATTTTTTTAACCAGTACCAGCTATTTGCACTGACCATATCCGAAGAGTGGCCCTGGCAGTTGCTTGCGGAGAATCATACGATATATACCATACTGTTACATAAGTTACATGTGTACATAAGTTAGCATTGTATAGTATCCACGGCAGCTTATATAGATGGGTTTGCTCATACCTTGTTTAACTTTTTCGACTTAGTTTATCTTTATAAAATTACCCTCTCTATTAAAGATTCCCCTGAATTACTCTCACACATAAGTTCTAACATTAAATTTACTGCCCGTAGATCAAACGAAATTAATCTCTTTGCTTTACAAATTTACAAAAACAATATATCTTTCTATAACCTTTGACTAGGATGACTCGCCAATATAATGAAATGGCAAAGAGCAATCACAAACTTTTTGACATATTTAATTACAGCATTAATAAATTCATCTCAGATATAAAAGGCATTCTCCATTGTCGATTTGGTATCCACACCAAACAGTTTCCCGGGCCTGAAGAATCTATTCTTCAGGCCCGGGAAACTGTGCCTGAAGGATCTTAATCAACCCATATTTTTGTTGAGAGGCACCAGTGTTGACACACGTCACTTTGTGTTTTCTAGTTTCTAATTCTTGTTTCTTTTTGTCCCTTTTTGAGCTTTTTTAATATTTAATACTTGTGATTTTGCAGTATGCACATATTGTTACGTTACTATCTAGATCAAAACCTTTAGTTTTTTAGTTAATAATATTTGATGTTTATGTGTTTTGTGCATGAAATAAATAAATAAAAAAATAAAAAATAAATAAAAATTCAAAACACCCCATGAGATAATGTAAAAGTTCACTGCTCTTAGCTACAGCCTCATTCTATGACTTGATCCTCACGCATCCTGTAAACCGATTTCAGTTGCTTTAGGACCGGAGTACAAACCTAGTTAGCACATGTGAGATGCTGGCTGAAACGCTAAAGCTGACACAACTGGATATTATTTATAACCTTATAATCACGCTTCTACGCAAGTAAAGACATTAATAATGTACATTAAAACGTTAAACATTTTCATATTCGTATTGGATAATAATATACGGGGTGCAAAAAGACACTTAACGAAGCCGTTAACTACGCATACTGCAGTTCTAACTAAGTAGCTTTACGCTAAAATTATCACTGGGAAACGACTTTTATTTTTAGGGGCTTTGTGTCATTGTGTGCGTAGGTTCACAGCTTAGCATGAAAACGCTGTGATAAGTACGTAGGTCGATGTTTTACTCCGCAACAACAAAACAATTCTTTAAAATAAAAATCCTACTGAGATGCACTATGTTTTTGTGCGGGCCTGCATTTATTTATTACGTACATTACTGTTCGAAACTTCAAATGCGTAATTTATTTAGAAAAATCTAAAATTCAGGTAATGTTTGTTTGGAAAAAAGTTTTGTAATAATACTTAGAATTCGATTGCGCTAAAAAAATTAAAAAATGCATCTTTGACCTTCAATATCTCGAGAACCCGTGGAGTCCCAGCTATGGTCTTAAAGAAAAAAATTATCCAAATAATAGGTAGAATACGTGGCTTTCAGCTTCGTTAAGTGTCTTTTTACACCCTGTAGTATTATTTTAATTTTTACTGATGGGGAAAACCATCGATCCATTTATCTCGCCCTGATCGGGGCAGTGGGGGTGTCCGACTCTTACGGACTAAAAACGTTTTACACTGACATTTTACAGTGTCTGAGAGCCATGCTTCGTAACAGAAGGCGCGGCTCGGCCGGAGTGATACTATCGCCTTACAGAAAACCAGCATGAAACAACCATAAGGCCGTGTTTCGCCGTGTGAGTGTGGATAAAATTTGCCTGCCCCCCATCCCTCCCCAATCCTTAAACATTCGAAACCCTTATCCTTAAAAAACCGTCAACGTAATTGTAACTCCTTTAGTGTTGCGCGTGTCCATGGACGGCGTCGATTGCTTACCATTAGGTAACCCGTCAACTCGTTTGGCAACCTATTTCATAAAAAAGCATCCATTATAAAATACAAGATTGGCTTTTTCAGAGAGCACTGCTGCACGGTCTCTGATAAATGTGTCAGTTATTAAAGGATATCTAAGAAGATACCCACGAAAAGCTAGGGCTGGTGACAATTGTATTCTCTTCTGCCGTCACGTTTGGCTTTGGCTACACCGAAACACAAATTAACAAATCATTGCGAAAAATAATGAACTGTTCAAATGTTATGTTTCATTACAATCAAATAAAGCTTTCACAATACCGCGAACGACAACGAAGAATGTAAAAATGAAATCCAACATTTTCATTTATCAAACTTGAGATTCTTTCGATCAATGAAACGAAAACAAACAAGACCCACATCTACAAAAATTATGGTGAAACAAATTCAAAGGAAAACAGTGTGATTTAAACTCTTGTGTGTGCCGGGAAATCTGTCAAAGGTTGGCCAATTAAAGAATATATGGCGGTTGCGCAATCTGAAGCCTTTGTGGCGTAGATTGATTCAATGAGGTTGGATTCGTAAATATTTTAGGAAATCCTGGCTGAATCCAAGAGTTCCTTCGTCAGAAAAGAGAATAAAAATAAATGCGCACTGTGGACGGAAAATACGGAATTTGGTATTGTTCTCGTTTTAATATGTATATAAGCCTACCATACATTTAGAACTCATAAGATAACGATTAAAAAAGTTTTTATATAGGCCACACAAGAAGCCGGCGTGAAACAAAACTTGCATGCTTGCTTTTTGCCATGTAAAAAAGCTTCGGCACGAATGATTCGGTTCGAATGCGAAAATCGACGTGACGGCCGTGTAAATGAAGCTATCGGAGACCCAATCCTTCTTCTCATCCTATCCCTCCAGAATCCATAAATATCCAAAACCCTTATGACCTAAAGACCGCCAACGCACACGTAACTCCTCTTCTATTGTTAGTGTCCATAGGAGGCGCCGATTGTGTACTATTAGGTAATGCGTGTTCTCGTTTTCTAGACTACAACATAAAAAGTTAACTAAAACTGAATAAATTAGTATCAATATAACCATAAATATGCGGTGTACTTAATTATTCAAACTCTTAAACAAAAATCAGATGCCAAACATAGAATGCTACATGGTTAACACGACAGGGTACAAATATAACAGATAGCTTACGAAGATGTGCCCGAAAGGTACCTGTCACTATGAAGAGGGCATGAAATAAGGATCGAGGTACACTTGACGGAATGATTAAGAACGCGGGTCAAGCATGTCTAATACATTTCGTGTTTATTTCGATTCAAGGGATGGATTTATAAAACTGATGACTTTTGAGTATTCAATGAGTAAGGTGTCGTATTTGTATGCTTGGGAAACACTTAAGAATTTTTCTTAGCAAATCACCGTGCCAAAATAATTTTCGTGTCTTCGACTTCTGTATCTTTTATTATTCTCATACATATACATCAAATATCACCATACAGTCAAAAGTATAATTATAATATTTTGTCTACATTGTAAAATAAAAAAAAATAATCATAATTTATTGATACTTAAAACACTTTTTTTGTTATAAAAATCATTTAATGACTTTCTTCCGCCCTGGCTAAACATTAGCCCTAAAGGGACCCGTCTATGATAGCCTATTGGCTCATTGAGGCACGTGTGGAACGCAATGCTACTCTCGGGTCGGGCGACAGGCTACCCTTACTTGCCATCCGAAGACCGGCGCTAACGATGGCCGGAGATTATCTCTTGTTCCACGACGCAACGACGAAAGAGAACACGGCTTCCCAGTTCCTTTTGCTACATATCATGGCCTCGACTGCGGCTTGATGCAAGAAGTTGCCACCGTCAATCACTTCCCTGGACAGACCAAGCAGGGCACACCGCCACTTTATGCTCCGCCTGACCTCTGGGTGGGCCTCACAATGACGACACTTGAGCATTTCTTGCCGGGACTGAAGAGGTGCCCACGTGCCCAGTAGAGTACACAGTAAACTGTCGCCCGCTGGCCCACGTCTCCGTCAGTGCAGAGGATCTTGAAGCCATTAAACTAAAAGGTAGAACAAAGAAGAAAGACGGTTGTACCGGATTGATGCACCGGTACCTGATTTTTGTGTGTTGTGTGGCCTAATTGCTAGGTATTTTATGCAAAATAAGTTCATGGAATTTTGAAATTAAACAACAGCATGCGTAGGTGAATGTATTAAATTTTAAAGTTACATAAATCGAGGATAGAGTGGTTGGAGAACAATTTAGCGTGTCATAATAAGGTGGAGATTGACGTTCAAAAATTAAGGGTCTAATTGAAATAAATGAGTTTTGACTTTGACTTTTTTTACTTTTGACTTTGAATACTGATTGGAGCACCCTAACCCTAACCCCACACTTGACATTTCAGTGATTCCCATCAACAACCTTCAAGAGATAATAAAATAGTTTTAATATTGATACAAGCGTTTACGTATAAAATAATAACTTGTTATATTCGACATCATCATCATCATCAGCCTGATGTCGTCCACTGCTGGCCTCTCCCATTGCACGCCACTGAGCTCGATGTTCAGCTCTTCTCATCCAACCACTGCCAGCCACCCTGCGGAAGTCGTCAGTCCAACTAGCTAGTCCACGTATTCGACATCAGTAATAATTATTTTTTTATTCAAAGGTACATCAACAATTTATATAAAATTCATTTTTCACAGATAGAGATCTTGTATCTGTAACAGATGATTGATCAATCTGTAACAGATGTACACATCACTCACCGCAGAGCAGTGAAGGCAAATGTTGGGAAAACCGGAGAAGTTACTCCCTTTTGTAAGTTTCCGTCGCGTGTAACCTTAATGGTTAAAATTACACAGAAATTATGTATGAAGGAAATATTGTACATAAAATTATCTAAAAAAATTGCTCACAATAGCACTAGTAACTTCTGATAGCTTAGTAGTTCGGATAATAAGCCATCGCGCCATCACATGTGAACACTGAATCATGCTATAAGGATAATTTTTGTGTAACATTTGCCGCGCTCGACGCGACGCATCACAAAATATAATATAATAGGTTTTACGAAATATTTGTAATACTTACCTATTAGTTAGATCGGTACCATTCTATCTATGGACGGACGGATAGTGGAGACTTAGTAAGTAATAGAGGGTATTTACCCATCGGAGATGTACCCATAAAAATAAGACGATTAATAACAAATTTTATGTATCCTTCGATTTTGTTCTACTGCTTTAGGCTGCTTTTTATCAACACAGCATGCGGGCGAAGCTGCTGGCGGAAGCTAGTAAAAAATACATAATTCTAGTAATAATGTAATAATAACTTGTTCTCGATGGTCTTAAGGTTACAAAGAGCATCACTAAATTAATAATTTGAGGAGTATAACGCTGCACGCTAGCATGAGCCATGTCACTGGTCCTCGGCGCCGTCCTGCACTCGCCCCCTCATGCTCCAAGTTGTCGTCCAATATAAGAGAAGACCACTTTACGGTGTTATCCACAACATCCTGCGAAGTACCCCAAAAGTGCTGTTTTGTACGCGTTAATTGATGACCACTAGGTTCATCACTTCTAAGTCTACCAGGTCCACGTGGCCCACTAGAGCTACGAGGCCCACCAGGTCCATAATTTCCAGGTCCTCCAGGCCCACTTGGCCTACCAGGACCACCAGGACCATAATAACCAGGTCCTCCAGGCCCGCCTGACCCACCAGGACCACCAGGTCCATAATTTCCAGGTCCTCCAGGCCCACTTGGCCTACCAGGACCACCAGGTCCATAATTACCAGGTCCTCCAGGCCCGCCTGACCCACCAGGACCACCAGGTCCATAATTTCCAGGTCCTCCAGGCCCACCAGGTCCATAATTACCAGGTCCTCCAGGCCCACCAGGTCCATAATTACCAGGTCCTCCAGGCCCGCCTGACCCACCAGGACCACCAGGTCCATAATTTCCAGGTCCTCCAGGCCCACTTGGCCTACCAGGACCACCAGGTCCATAATTACCAGGTCCTCCAGGCCCGCCTGACCCACCAGGACCACCAGGTCCATAATTTCCAGGTCCTCCAGGCCCACTTGGCCTACCAGGACCACCAGGTCCATAATTACCAGGTCCTCCAGGCCCACTTGGCCTACCAGGACCACCAGGTCCATAATTACCAGGTCCTCCAGGCCCGCCTGACCCACCAGGACCACCAGGTCCATAATTTCCAGGTCCTCCAGGCCCACTTGGCCTACCAGGACCACCAGGTCCATAATTACCAGGTCCTCCAGGCCCGCCTGGCCCACCAGGACCACCAGGTCCATAATTTCCAGGTCCTCCAGGCCCACCAGGTCCATAATTTCCAGGTCCTCCAGGCCCACCAGGTCCATAATTACCAGGCCCTCCAGGCCCGCCTGACCCACCAGGTCCATAATTTCCAGGTCCTCCAGGCCCACTTGGACCACCAGGACCACCAGGTCCATAATTTCCAGGTCCTCCAGGCCCACTTGGCCCACCAGGACCACCAGGTCCATAATTACCAGGTCCTCCTGGACCACCAGGACCACCAGGTCCATAATTTCCAGGTCCTCCAGGCCCACTTGGCCCACCAGGACCACCAGGTCCATAATTACCAGGTCCTCCAGGACCACTTGGCCCACCAGGTCCATAATTTTCAGGTCCTCCAGGTCCTCCAGGTCCACCAGGGCCAGCTTTTTCATTCTGCTTTAAGTATTTTAAAATATCAGGATCACCAGGCCAATAATCCTTTGGTCTACCTGGTCCACCGGGTCCACCGGGTCCGCCGGGTCCACCGGGTCCACCGGGTCCACCGGGTCCACCGGGTCCACCGGGACCACCGGGTCCGCCGGGTCCACCGGGTCCACCGGGACCACCGGGCCCGCCGGGTCCACCGGGTCCACCGTGTCCGCCGTGTCCACCAGGACCACCAGGTCCACCGGGTCCACGGTCCACATCTGAATCTTCGTAAGGTTGATCGTAGCGGTTATTCAACGGAGGAAGAGTAGTACCATGCACTATAGGCTCCCCAAATATCTGAAACTTCAATACTGCACTTCCTTGAAATTTGAGCTCTATGTACAGGTCATAACTGATCACTTTGCCAGTAGACACTTCGTCTTGCAAATACGTGATCTGCCTATTTGGATTATTCATCGGGTCCACTTCACTAATATTACTGCTTTTATTTTTGGTTGACGTTATGTCTTTAATGGCAATTACTGAAAATATATCATTAGGTGACTTGAGTCCAGAGCCGCCGCCACCAGTTCCGTCTTCAGGTGTGAAATTGATTTCATCCTTTAGTGTTAAAAAAGCCTCAGATCGCTCCGTGCATTCAACCTAAAAATTAAATACAGACATATTGAACAATTTTATTTCTGCTTATTCTTTACCTACCTACCTATACTTTTGCCAATCACGTGATCACATGGGCTCGGTCATTTGAGAGGCACCCGAGGGGACAAAGTCAACTGCTCAGAGGCTCTTTAAAATAGGACACAAAATGGTGACTATCATTCTGTTTGAGCACTATGAAAATACAACCAAGGACTGTCCGTGGTAATTGTTAAGCTAAAGTGGGTAGTGGGAATAAGATATCTAGCTTAGACTATGGGTGTGGAGTTTTTATTAAGAATGGAAAATCTTCGAATGATTTGTTTTCACCCAGGGTCAATCGAAAAGACTTTCATGAGTTTCTTAGACGGTAATATGAACTATTTTTGCGGGTTGCTTTTCGATCTATAAATCAAACACTATAACATTAACGCACCCAGTCCCGGAGCAGGAAAAAGAACAGGGTGGTTTTAGTCAGTAAAAATTGGGGTCACATATTCTCGTAAGATGCGGGAGATGTAGCAAGTTGCTTTCGTTAAACAATTAAGTAACTAACAAAAGCTTGATTACCGTAAGTTTGACGCAGGAGCATGCTGGTATGTCCAGGTCGTACATTGACAACTAGAAATATAATAAAAACATGAATAATGACCGAAATCATAAACCAATGTAATCTAAAATCCGAAAAGATCTAAGATTGGGATTTAATACTGAGTGCTTATAACAAAATACGCGCGTTCGCCGTTCATCGCTCGGTCAGCTGTTAGCGGCGAGGCCCCGCGCGACTTCCTCTGAACTTTGCTCAGTTTTTTACTACAGTCATTAAAATATAAGTAATGAGTATAGAAACATAGTTTCATTGGGAAATTTGTTTGTTACCATGTGTATAATCATGTGTTTAAATATCGGTCACTAATTACCAGGCATCTTATATATGAAAGAAAGTCGTGTTAGTGCTACTTTTTATAACTCAAGAATGGCTGAACCGATTAGGACGAAAATTGTTAGGGAGGTAGCTAAGTACTAGGAAACGGGTATAGGATAGAATAGTGAATAGTGTAGGTAGTCAAATGACGGAAACGAAGCCGTGGATAAGAGCTAGTTTAATTATAATAATACTCTTGTGTGGTTGAAAAGACATACCTTGTATATAACGGAACCTATGCTAGTGGGCGCATTGAGCTCGAAATGCTCGCGATACATTAGTGCTCGCCTCGACTGGCATGCCTTCCAATACATTTCTTGCGTCGTATCGACTAAAAAAGCAAAAAAATCAACATCTCAGACTTTTATTACATATTTTGGAAAAAAAAAACTACTAAATTAAAAGTTAGAAAATGTCAAAACATTTATTTCAAATAATTTTTGTTGATATTCGTCAATGGCTGTTGATGGTCTGTCGTGCCATGCTAATGTTGTAGAAATGGTATTCAAACATTTTATCAAATGTGCTGGAAACTTCACCCCACGTCATATTGTTCCCACAAGGATACAATCAGGGTGTGTTCGAATCATGTTTGTGGATCGTTGGAATATGCACTATGACATCTTGTGTTCTTGTATTTATCGTCAAGCAAGTTAGGTAATTAAATACTCAAATATCGATCTAATAAATAAGTAATACTTACAAGGGTATATTGCGATTGCGTGTGGGTCCTCGTATGACGGTTCTAGGTTGAAATACTTCATCTGTACCGCATCTTTATAGTTTGGCCACCTGATGTAATCGTGCCGAATGAAAAAGCCTGGCGTTGTTTGTTCGCTAGGAGGAATAAATACTCTGGAAAACATTAACAGAAAAACTCAGTAACTTCAAAGTATAATATTTTTGTTGTATATCAAAGTAGTTATTGATATAGCAATATGTCGATCGGAGTGATACCACGGCCTCACAGAAAACAGGCAATTTTTTATGGTATAAGTCAGCAAACGAGCAGACGGATTACCTGATGGTAAGCAATCGGCGCCGCCCATGGACATCCGCAATACCAAAAGAGTGAGTGCGTTGCGGATATAAGGATTGGGAAGGGATAGGGGAAGGGGAGGGATTGGGCCTGTCTGATTGAGATTGTCAACTACAGCGTTGTGTTACGCCGCGTGAGTGGGGTTTACCGGAGGCCCAATCATCCTCTCCCCCTTCATCCACAATGCTTGAATCCCCAATAACCCTTTATCTCCCTAATGACGTTAGTTTGCGACTCTTTTGGTGTTGAGGGTGTCTACAGAGGGCATCAATTGCTTAATATCCATCTTCTCATTTGCTAGCAATTACACAAAAATATTATCCGTTGGTTGGTCACCATATACCTCATGCTAGTTCTGTTTTTAGCAAATAACCGCAAAAACGTTTTTTTAAAAAAGATAAAAGATAATGTATGAATGTATGTTTGTTATTTCACACATCAATAGTATTTGGTTGAAATTTAGTCAGTACATATGTGATATTCTGGGTTAAAACAACTGCTTTTTACCACGTACCACGTGAGAGATGTCTTATATAATTAGGCTCTATGTATAACTACAGGGTGTAAAAAGACACTTAACGAAGCCGTTAACTACGCATACTGCAGTTCTAACTAAGTAGCTTTACGATAAAATTATCACTGGGAAACGTCTTATATTTTTAGGTATCAAAAAAAAAAATATTGCGCGTAATGTAAAGCAAACGGACTTCGTATCATTGTGTGCGTAGGTTCACAGCTTAGCATTAAAACGCTGTGATAAGTACGTAGGTCGACGTTTTACTTCGCAACAACAAAACAATTCTGTAAAATAAAAATCCTACTGAGATGCACGATGTTTTTTGTGCCGGTCTGCATTTATTTATTACGTACATTACTGTTCGTAACTTCAAGTGCGTAATTTAGTTAGAAAAATCTAAAATTCAGGTAATGTTTGTTTGGAAAAAAGTTTTATAATAATACTTAGAATTCGATTGCGCAAAAAAAATTAAAAATGCATGTTTGACCTTCAGTATCTCGAGAACCCGTGGAGTCCCAGCTATGGTCATAAAGAAAAAAATGATCCAAATAATGGGTAGAATACGTGGCTTTCGGCTTCGTTAAGTGTCTTTTTACATCCTGTATATTAATAAAAAAAAATTACACACGTTTTGTGATTGTGCAAAGGCATTTCTATGATACTGTCTCCGCTTCGCCTGGCATTCTCGTCGTCTCGTGTTACCGAGCGGATCCAGGAAAAGTAGTGCAGCATGAAGATAAATCGAGCAGGCACATTGCATCCTGGCCCATGCACGCTGAACCCAATCTGCAAGTCGAGTCAAAGTGTATTTTTTATTACAATAATTACTAAAAAGGCTGATTTAAAAGTCAAACAAAAAAAACATCAGCCTATAGGTGCCCGCTGCTGAGCAAAGGCCTCAGGTTTTAGCAGTAAATCACCATTCTTGCTCAAGGCGAACTTGCAATTTCAAACGGATAACTAGAAGTGTTTAAATAAAGAAACCTTAATTATTACTCGGAAAAATGTCACATTAATCATTGCCAGGTTTCAAACACTCATGCTTAAGAAACGGACCCCTTAACCTCCGGGCCACCATGACATTGGTGATGTTTTCATTTATAGCGACATATGTAGCACAACAATAACAACAGCACCAATAACTTGCAATATTCTACATCGCGGTATAAGAGTTCTCAACGCAATTAGAACCGATACAAAATCCCGACAACAACCGTCGGGCAGTAGCCCACGAGACATAACACCCGTCTGGTCGGAGAATCCTCCCTCTTAAATGGAAGATGAGGAACTTTCCACCCTTTTCTCTCATACCTCTAAACATTATCAAATCAATTTAATGAGATAGGACTAATGTCCATAAATAAAAAAGAAAAATAAGATACGTACGAACGTGAACCAGCCAGTAGTGTTGGAAGCCAGTACCATGCCGTTGTCCCAGATGCAAGATGCGTTGCTGTACTGATGTTGCCCACACACATACGACTGGGGCTTGTGCTTCCGATCTGCCAGCTTTTAGATAGACAATCATTAAGTGTAGGAAGGCCATGTTATTTATATGTGATAGGTAAACCGTATGCTCATTAAGCATACGGTTTACCTGATGGTAAGCAAGCCGCCGCACATGGACACCCGCAACAACACAGGATTTACGAGTGCGTTGCTAACCTTTTGGGGATTAGGTATTTGGATATTGTGGTATTAAGAGAGGGGAAGGATTGGGCTTCCGGTAACCTCACTCACACAGTGCTGTGATCATTATCACGCCGGTTTTCTATAAGGTGAACCGACACATTCGTGCCGAAGAATGGCTCCCACGCAATGTTTTTGTACGAATGGACTTGTCAAAACGATGGTATACGATGGCTTTAACATTGGCGTACACCTAAAATCCACAAAGGGCTAGCAACAATTTGTGGATGGCATAAAGATTTGTTCCGTGAATTGTCTGGCCACTGTGCCAACTAACAATTAAATGCCTGGCAGGATACTTGTATGACAAAAGAGTTATTAAAATGTATTTTTAATACTCACTCCTTCTTTTTCATAGAAGTGTTTACAAACACGCGTCTCCACCGATTGGATTTTGTAAATTACCTTCTCCATACCATTAATACCTGTAAAATTTTACAAAATTACTTTGTAGTAGGATAAACTTCGAATTCTTTCAAAAAAATTGGGACATCTTAAACTGGTGATAAGATGTCCCAATTTTTTGGAAGGACTATTAAGAAAATAAAAGCAACTATGAAAAAATCCTCACCCTAAAACATATAACTTAGCTTTTACAACAAAAAGTATTTTATCTAGGGATGGACTATAACTAGGACTTAGTTTTTGTACTAGAAACCAGTGCAAAAAGTAAAAATACATGACCTTGACTTTCTTTTCTGCATTTTTCTGATATAAACTTTAAGGTTTTGATATTCTTTTGGTGAGATTGTGTATTTTTTTATTTAAAGAGTGACTTAAGTTTTTTCTCATTCTTCTCCATTCGAATCTACATTTTAGAATGCACAGCTACCTTCATTGATGCATAGGCCGCTGATGATGGATTAAATATTTTTAAGTTTTAATTTTACAGGTTGTTAAATATTTTTATAATGTTAAAAAAAAATTTTACCACTAGTATATCCGAGAAGGTATAGATGATCGGAGTCATACGAAATGTCCGGGAAGCATATAGGAACCAGTGAACCTGTTCACAAAATGGCATATCGTCAAAATTAAAATTTAATATTATCAAAAGACTATTATTATTTAGGGTTAATGGAAAAGAAACGGAACCCATAGATCATCGTCATTCCTTTTTGTCTGTCTGTTAGTCTGACACTCTCGCCTCGACTAGGCTAGGCGGCTTCTCCCGCACGGTATGTTGGCAAAAAGCAACTACCACCTACATCCCAAATTTTTACCAAATAAATCGAGCCATTTTTGCATATAAGAGTAACAAACAATACATTCTCACACAAACTTTTACATTAATGTATTGTAATATAAGTAGCATATACCTACGAGTAATTTCAAAACAATGTAAACAGTTTAATTCTTTAAAATTTTGAGTGTTTTTTTGTCATTAATCCCATACTAAAGAGTAATTAATGGGTAGGTTTTAAATCTTGATCTTTTCATAGCTTGCTTGAGATAGACATTTGCAAAGTGTTAAACTGTCTTACAGATGAATGATGATTATAATTACAGATAACTTACTATCATCCGGAATAGCGAGTTTGATGATAGCAATACTACTGTACACAGCAGTTGCGTACTCCGGGTGAGTGACGTAAGAGAGAGGCTGGTAGTACACTGCCACGCCGCCATCAGCTATGAACATCGCCTTACTATCCTCTCTGGAATTACAAGTTAATACAAATATATCTACGCTATCTAAGTTAATACAAGTATATTATATAATAGCTGGCCTACGCTGCCCAATTCATAGAATGTTGGAATCCTATAACTCAAATTTCATCGATATTGACATTATTTGCATGTTCGAAGAATAGATTTAAATCTTATATTATGAAAATTTTAGGTAAATAGTAATTTTGTTGTATAATTTAAGTAATAGAAACTGTCTTTCATGAGATTTGTTTTCGTTATTGTAACTTATTTATTTGTTTCTAATTTTGGTGATGCTTGTCTATATAGTAGCAACCCCTGATCATTAAATATGTTTTTTCTATATAACTATATACTATAATATATTATCCCTCAATAAATAAATAAAAAAAAAATATTTACGGACCCTCCCCCACATATCAAATTTCAGCGAAATCGTTACGGCCGTTTTCGAGAGCAAATGCTTTTTCAAGCAATCAGATCTGATTTGTGAATCTAAACCATCCAGGGCAGCACTCAACCACATACAGAAAAAAACATTTAAATCGCTCAAGCCGTTTAGGAGGAGGTCAATGACATACGTACAGCAGAATTATATATATGAAGAAGATTTGTAGTGCACTGGTAGCAAATCAATTTTATTCGGGTCCTAGTGCATTTGCATGTATTTTTTTATGTAATTGGTCGGCAAACGAGCAAACGGATTACCTGATGGTAAACAATCAGCGCCGCCCATGGACATCCGCAACGGAGGATTTACGAGTGCGTTGCCAACTTTTTAGGGATTAGGGATTTGGAGATTTAAGGATTGAGGAGGGATTGGGGGCGGGGAAGGATTGGGCCTCAGGTAACCTCACTCACACGGCGAAACACAACGCTGTGGTTGTTTCACGCCGGTCTTTTGTGAGGCCGTGGTATCACTCCGGTCGAGCTGACCCATTCGTGCCGAAGCATGGCTCTCCCACACTTTTTAAGTGATGGTATGCCAAAAAGCCGTCGGATTACTTGATGGTAAGCAATCGGCACCACCCATGGACACCCGCAACGCCAGAGGAGTTACGAGTGCCTTGCCTTTGGGGATTAGGGTTTTAAAAAGTTTAGAAGGATTGAAGGAGGGGAAGACATCTTATCGGAAACTTACAAAAAAATCTGCATTGGTATCTTAGCAATATCATCTGCATTGGCGAGCGCATACTTGGGTTTAACGAGTACGATTCCAGTTATCGCTTCTTGCACCTCATCGATGTCATCTGTGAAAATTATAATTTGTATTGGTACATCGTCTACAAAAAAGACGTATACCTATTGTAATTGTAAGCATACTAAATTGGTTGAAAATAAAAACTTACTACCATGAATTTACTTACAAAAGTTCGACTAGTTTCGAGTCATACCGGGACTCTTATATATGAGCAGCGTGAGCCTCTTGGCTACCTCGCGCAACCGACGTGTAAGTAAATCATTATTATCAATATAGAAAAAAGAAGTGATACATTGGAATTATTAAAATATGTCAAAATATATTTAGTTGAGACTATTATTAAACAAAATCAATAGCTCCTTTAAGTTAGATTTTAGGGCGTGTTGTGTCTATTGCACCGATGCACATAGAAGACCGATGATAAACAATTAACAGATGACGTCACATAACCTACAATACCGCCAACATATCTTGGCGAGTCTGAAGTTAGCCGATTAGCTGCGCAGTACACAATTTTGTTCCTAGAAGATCCATTGCGCAGACAAACGGCTAACTTCAGACCCGCCAAGATACGTCGGCCATACTGTACATCGGGAAAAAGAAGTTTACGTAGATTACCAAGGATAGAAGATTCTTACGTACAACCACTGCGCAGCCATAACCAACTCGCTTGCTCAGAAGAACCTCCTTTTTAAATTATAGGGGACTTTACTCTCTGTTCCTTGAACTGCCCTTTACTCATTTACAAGTCATGAAAAATGCACGAAACTTTTACGGACCGCACAAAAATCAAGAATGAATAAGTTGTTTTTGCTTCTCTTTACAAAAAACGAAGTTAAATGGTATAAAAAATGTTATAAACTTATGTCTTATCAGAAGAGTCACCGCGACCTCGGCCCAGATCAGAGGATTAAAAACGGGGGGTTTTTAGTCAGTAAGAGTCTGACACTCCCTCCAGGCCCGTCCTGGGCGGGAGCATATATTTGATGATATTCCCCTAATAAAAAAAATATAATTGAAAGTATATCAAGCATTTACTGACCACATCAAACTAAATAGATTATTTATAATTTTTTCTGATAATACAATAGATTTTGAACTCATATTTCAAGTCTTACTCAAGTAGACTATGAATAATCCGAGCCAGCTGAAGTCTGAGCTTAGTCCCATATGTCCCTCGTCTAGAATAATGCCCTTCTCCATATCGCACTGACTCGCAAAACATTTTTCTGCAACGAAATGAAAAAATAATACAACAAGAAAGTATTATACAAAGAGGTATCCAAAAAGTATGATATGTGCTAAGAATGGTAAAAAACATTGCCCCACGCTAGGATTTTCTCCTGTGTCGTGGGTGCGTTAACAAACATACATTTTCATATATACATCACATCCAGACCCGGAACAACAATTTGTAGATCACACACATAATAAGCCAATCACATAGAAAGCCAACAATGGTAACTCCTCTGATGCTGCGAGCGTCCATGGGTATGCAGATTGCTTACCATCAGGTAACCTGTACTCATTTTCAGCCATATCAAATAAGAAAATAATTAAGAATTTTTAAAGCACTTACCGAAGAAAATTAATGCAATTCCTAGTAATACAACATTTCTTATATCCATAATTGTTAATAACAGTACTTATACTATCAAAATTCAGTGAATGTACTTTTGCATTCTCGGCAACATGCATCTTTTACTGTGACGCCCTCGAGAATGTAAATCACAAACGCATCCATTGTACTCTGTATAGCAAACTTGCAATACTAACAAACACAATCGACACAACCAATGGAGTAATCTCTTTATTTTAAGAATCACTACTAGCTGCCCGCCCCTGCTTTCCACGGGTCTTACTATACAATTTTCCCCTTTACTAATATTTTCTTTGATAAGAACCTTTTCCTAGCCATAATAAACAAAAAAAAAGGAATTAACCAAATTGGTACAATTTTTGTTGAGTTATGCGCTTACCAACACATTTTGCTATCCTTTTTTTATATATAGACTAGCAGCTCGCCCCTGCTTCGCACGGGTCTCATCATCTCGCTTACGATGAAAGGGTCCCTAGTACCCAACACTCCACTCTCCGCCTTACTTTTCTAAAATTTTCTTTGATAACCTTCTCCTAGCCATAATAAACAAAACAAAAAAGGAATTAACTAAATTGGTACAGTTGTTGTTGAGTTATGCGCTTACCAACACATTTTGCGATCCATTTTTATTTATATAGATTACAATCATCATCAATGATAATGATAAGTTGAAGCGGCAAAACTGTGGAATGGTCTTGTAGCGTTAGTATTTATGATGTGTTAAGACTTTCTAACCTTCAAAAAGGAATTTGTGACTCCTATGGTGTTGTTGCTGTGAATGGGCGGCGCTGATCACTTGATAACTTCCAAGTTTGCCCTTTTTAATTCGGTTATAAAACGTAAATTTTAAATATATAGGTTTAACTCCAGAATTGTCATCAGTCATTTATGTATTTATTTTATTTTTACCTAACAATACCTTTAAGTGCAATTTTAACAAAGATACTAGCTACTGGCGCCATATTTTTTTTGGTTCTAATTTTCAAAATAAAGCAAGCTATGTAATAAAAAGTTTTTATCCAAATATTTCTATTAATTCTAGAGATAAGCGTGTGCAAACAGCAAACAGAACAAATACAAATATAAATTTTAATTTATTTTTTCAAACTTTATCCTTACAATCCTGTTTTTTTGTTTTGTTGATAAATATTTAGTATATGTAAGTACATACAGACCTACTCATACTAGAACTCCATTCGTTCATTACTGTGTGTTGTCAAATAAACAGCTGATAAATTTGTTGTTCTTTTGTACTGAAAGGGAGAAAACAATGCCACAATGTTGCTCCAGCAACAATTAAGGCTATGACAAAAATGGCTGAGTTACGTGAAATATTTATGTTGTTTTGCTTAGTTTAGGTTCAATATATGAGCTGACGGATCTACTGATCACCAACGAACTCCTTTGGTCTTTCAAGTTACAAGTACTAGGGATTGAGGATTGAGTATTCACAAAGGTATTTAAAGAATGCCTCTCTAAATTGAAACAATGTATCATTACTAATTCTCTCTGTGGACAAACAATCAAGCAATTGACTGCACGGTTGCCGCGGTGGCTGGGCAACGGTCCTTACACTAGGATTTTCTCCTGTGTTTTTTAAAACAACGTTTATTAAAGAAAAAAAAGAATCATTGTTTTCGCCAGTTAAATTAGATGACAGTTAAAGTTCATATTTTACAAATCCAAAGTATAATAGTGTATATTTCTTTAAGTGTGTGAGAGCAATGATACCGCTCATATAGACCGGAAAACTGGTGATATGCTTGCGCTGTGTTTCACCGTGTAAGCGTTGCTTGAGGCCCAATTCTTCTTCTCCACCCATACCGAATTCTCAAATATCTAATAACATAAAAGTGAAACGGGTGTTGATCAGCGATGGCTTACCATCCGTTGCTGCGTCTACTCATTTATTTAGTCAACGTATCCCATAAAAAACTACCTGAATATTATTCTATTCTTCCATCCACGATATATCTTTTATAAGTTAATCAAGGCATTCCCCGACAAAGAGACACTATTGTGACATTTTATTAAAGAAGCCATAAAATACAAAGGCGCTCTCCGTTCCAACATTAAGATGGAATGGCTTACTAATCCAGCTTCTACCTGCCTCTACCACTTCAGGCCTTTATCCCGTGCAGTTGCATGGCACTTAATTGAACTACTCTTGTAATAAAATTACTCACTGTTGCAAAGAACAGTATTCCTTAGCGTTAATATTTAATAAAAAATACCTTCCACTCGCGACTTCGCACGCCCCAACAGTAATGCATCCCGGTATTTTAAAAACGGCATCGTTTAAAGCGATTAAAATACTCAAATTTATTATAAACCTATAGCACTCAGGAACATTGTAGCTATCTATCAGTAAACCAATTTTGGCAAACCTAATCCGTGTGAGTGTGGGTGTTAAGACACTTTATAACATCTGTGCACATATCTGGCAGCACGGTGATTGGCCGCCGGATTGGTCTGAATCCGTCATTTTACCACTGCATAAGAAGGGATCGACTAAAGACTGTGGCAATTACCGTACTTTGTCCCTCATCTCACATGCCAGCAAAATCTTGCTCCACATCATCAATAACCGCATCCGTTATTACCTGGATTGGCAAATCCCGCAGGAGCAAGCGGGTTTCGTTAAGGGCAAAGGTACGCGTGAGCAGATCCTCAACATCAGGCAGGTTGTTGAGAAAGCGTATGAATTTGATACGCCAGTGATAATGTGCTTCGTCGATTACAGCAAGGCATTCGACTGTGTCAACTGGAGTTGTTTATGGAAGGTCCTACAAGAACTCGGAGTGCCGCATCATCTCGTCGCTCTATTAGGCAGGCTTTACAGCTCAAGCCAGGGAGTTGTAAGAGTCGAGACCACAACCTCCAAACCTTTCAAATTGAAACAAGGTGTGCGTCAAGGTTGTATACTATCGCCCATTCTATTTAATGCCTACGGGGAATACATCATGAGACGTACCTGCGAGAACTGGGAGGGTGGCATCGCAGTTGGCGGCGTAAAACTCACAAACCTGCGGTACGCCGATGACACCACCCTACTCGCAGCAAACGAGTCGGAAATGGTTGCACTCCTGGGCCGAATGGAGCAGATAAGCGAAGAGATGGGACTTTGCATAAACAGGTCCAAAACAAAGCTAATGGTGGTGGATAGATCCGGAAGATTGGAACTCACCGGCGCTTTGGATTTAGAAGTGGTGGACAACTTTATCTACCTGGGTTCCAACATTAGCAATAACGGTTCATGCGAGAGAGAAGTGCGCAGGAGAATCGGAATGGCTAAGGGTGCCATGACCCAGCTTGGGAAAATATGGCACGATCAAAACATCTTCACTAGGACCAAAATCAGGCTGGTGCGGACCCTGGTCTTTTCGATCTTCTGTTACGGCGCGGAGACATGGTCTCTTAGGGCAGCGGACCGCAAACGAATTGACGCCTTTGAGATGTGGTGTTGGAGGAGGATACTCCGTATTCCCTGGACGGCATTTCGAACCAACGTCTCAATTCTGCGTGAACTCAAGATCTCCTCACGACTGTCATCCGTGTGCCTTCGTAGAGTCCTTGAATACTTCGGTCACATTGCAAGAAAAGAGGGAAACAACCTGGAGAGACTCATTGTGACCGGAAAAATGGAGGGGAAAAGTCCTCGTGGTCGCAGCCCGATACGTTGGTCCGATCAGATCCGCACCACTTTGGACTCTACCATCCACGGCGCCCTTCACACCGCCAGAGACAGAATTGGATGGAGGAAGATCGTACGGGAGAAGGTGATGCCGAAGGGAGGTCACGACCCTCAGCAATGAGGAATGCGAAGCAAGGAGAATCCGTGTGAGAAAGGGCCTTTGCTCCGCCGTGGGCACTTATGGTCTGATGATGATAATGATGATGATGTTATGAGTATGTAAATTTTTATGTTTCTCTGCCAGCACGGTTTTCTACTTCTATCCTAGTACTCACATCACCACTATTTTGAATGGTAAACACTAACTAAGGCGAACTGTAGATAAACTGACATCCCGCATCAAACTCATAGATACTTAACATTGCTTTGAAAGTTAACTTTGACTGTATTAGTGCAGGTAATAAAAACTGTCCATTATAAAATAATCTAGAACTATTTCACAGATTTGGCTAAGACCAACTTCTACTGGTATTTTTGATCTAGCGCCGAGTTTGTGGAGACTTAAGTACGGGTGCACGGAATGTTTTGCTATCTAGTTGGCTACAGCGTAGCCAATATTAATGACTACGGCGTAGCTACTTCTACAGCAGTTATGATTTTATGTTGCATAATATGTTTGTACAGTTCTGTGTCGTAGCTTTGCTATTCTTTCATAGTAAGTGTTATTCAATTGCGTTCAACAAATAAATATATACACATTTTCAACATGTCCACGTATCTGCCATAATTAGGCTAAGAATGTCTAATAAATCAAATGTCCTATGAACTGCTTTGGCTATTTAAATTTCAATGATATACTTTAAAAAAGAAATAAAATATTTTAAAAGCATGAAAATCTTACATTACAAAGAAACAAAGAAAACAGCGTGCAGCAACAGAAGAGTGGGGTTAAAAAACATACAAAAAAACCTTTCAATATTAGTGCTGAACCGTATTTTATTCATAATCAATACGAATGGTACAATTCCAGTTTCACGAATTGATACGAATAAAAACTTAAATAAAAATGTATGTAAAAACCACGCGAACGTCCACTCCACGTTGTTTTTACAGATTTTTTTATATAAAAATATAAAAACTCAATTTCCAATACGACGGTCCAGTAAATATACTGCACGACTGTTTCTGCCGATATTCTTTAATATAAATTGAATTTCTATTTCTATCATAACTTTTTTGTGTCCATTTAAATTCCAATTTTATTTCAAAGAAAATAAGTTATGCACTTAGAGAAATTGCATCAGC